AGATCAATATTCATTTAACAAGCCAGTGCGTTGATACAGTTTATATTCTACTGAATTTACTATATCCGTTATTATTACGTAATTATATAAGTCCCGTGTCCAGGTAAAAATAACAATTTGTGGTTTGTATGTCAGGTGAAAGTGACAACGGGTGGTATGTATACTAAAATGTTTATCGTCTTCCATTATACATGAGGGTGTGGATGGGGGTTTATAGAATAGAAAATTATTGACCAAAAAATAAAGAATACAAAAAATAACCAGACAAATATATAGAAAAGAAAATTATGAGGTACTAGAATATATGGAATAAAGAATGATCGACAAAAGGTATAACGATTAAAAAAAATTGCCTAAAATGATAGAATACAGAAATAATGAATCCCTATTTAGACCCTCATAATCTGACGATGACATTTAGCTTTAGGACAATTATGGGCATGTGATACAGTTTTAGAACCACAGTGATTTTTGTTTACAAAAGTTCACATATATACAAGCTAATTTTTACAAAATCAATGTTTATATGTAATAAAAATTATATCTTCATGTGCTAAATTTAAATGACAAATGGGTTTGAATTATTCGACATTAAATAATTTTACTTATAACATTTCAGTTTCTTGGACATTTTTGTCCTTTGAACAGACATCCTTAACTTTTTTGTTTCAAAAGATAAAGATATGCGGATTTCGGTAAAGAGATTAGAATATCTTCGTTATAAAATTGGGCTCTACATTTGTGTAACAATTCTTTGTTAATATTTAATTTTTGTGAAAAGAAATTGATACAAGAAGAAAAAACGGTATTTTTGTTGTATATTTATGTAGTTAAAAAAAAGTCGGTAATTTCTTCATAAAAGTTGCAACGAATAATCTTCATACAGTATCAAGCAAAATGTCATGTCTAAAATGAGGGGGCCATAACTGATAACACTTTTTCCTTAAAAAAATGAAAAAATAATTATTTGGATAAGAAAATAACCCAGATATATAGATATATTAGAATAAAAATATTTTTTTAATTTTTTAAAAATCATTTAATATTCATCGGTTTATGATTAAATGAAAAATATAGAAAATTGTAAAGTTGTTTTTAAGGAAGGAAAATAATGTTTGTCCCGAGAAAAAAGCCCCCCCCCCCCCCCCTCTTATAAATGATCATTAATTTACCTAGTGGGGGCTAAAATTTGGAGACCGATCGCGAGGCCTGACTGCCATAAACAACAGATAACGAACAGCAAACAGTGGATACACCAATTGATATGTATGAAAGACAACGGCGGACACAAAATGATTGCACTGAATAATTTCAACTACCATTGAGATTGTTTTTTTTTCAAATCTCCTTATCAAATTTGAAATGCATTTTAAAAAACCTTGGGATATCTTTTACAGTTTGGAATTGGAATTGGAATTAAAAATTGCATTTCCCAAAGAGTTTCAGGTAAAACCCCGAGAATCTCACCTCCTAGAAATTTGAAGTGCCAGGATGTTTGAAAATATGTACGAATTTTATTACATACTTGAAATTGTATAAGGAATATAAAAAGATTCAGTATGTTTACTGTACAAACAAACAACAGACACCAAGTGATAGATACAATTGCGGCTTATATTGTTTAATTCATTTTTACTGAGAGCAAAATTTGATTGATTGATTATTCACTGGTTGTTTATACGTCCAGTGGCAAACATTTTTTTTTCATGCATATTCAGGACGAAAAGTCGCTTCAGAAGTATATTATGAAGTATTTGGTATTACAAATGTTTACATTTTCTCATTATTTGGTAAATTTCATTTTCTTAGCTATTTCTAATTAATTTGTACGAATCAGATTTTTCTGACAAGTTATATATTTTGCTTTAAATTAACTCTTACGATTCTGATAATATAAGGAACATTGTAACTTAAGTTAAAAAAAAGAGATTATGATTGTTTAATCAGTTGTTATGTAAGTTCGCTCGTGTCAGTCGGATCACTGATTTTCGGTAATATCAAGGAAAAACCGGCACGTTCCAAATATTGTTCAACTACTCATTTAATGGTGATTCTTTTTCTTTAAAAATTGGAATTTATGTAATAAAAATCTATCTATCTCTACCATAGTATGAAATCAGAGTACAAGTAACACGTCCTTTCTAGTCTTTAGTGGCATATCATTAGTCCTTAGCAGTGTTTAGACGTACAAGCAGAAAACAGTCGAAGGCCACCAATGGGTAGAAAATCCCGCACCGAAGGCGTTTTTCAGCTGGTCCCTAAACAAAAATGAATTTTAGTTCAGTATTAATGGACATCATACTAAACTTCGAAACATACAAATATTTCCTAAATTTCGGAACGTAAACTTATGATAATTTATTAGTCAAGGTTACAAATTTAGGCAGATAAAAAGAAGGGGAGGAGGGGGTCAATGCATTTGAATGGGGACATATGGTTAAAACCACCCCTTTTATCCTGGGTTGAGAACCCTCTTTTTAAAAATGGCTGGAATCGCCACTCTTTAAAACGTAGCAATTTATAAATTATTTATATTAAGTAGAATTATAAAATCGATGAGTTTTATAATTTGACAACACTCATTGATATTGGAAATACTATACTACAATTAATTTATTTAATACATGGAGTGTTTAGTAAAACTGTCGACCAATCAACACAGAAAGCGAGATATCTAAAATTTGTATACCCTTATAGATTTTCATTATCATACATCAATTTTAAATGCAATTCCAAATAAAATGGCTTTGAGAACCCTGTATTAAGCGCTTATCGTTCATTCGTCAATGAATCATTCACCGTGCGTGTATCGTGTGTTCATCATTCATCGTGCATCGTGCGTGTATCGTGCGTTCATCACTCATCATTCATTTTTCGTTAATCCTCCGTGTAACGCTCATCGCTCATCGTGCGTGTATCGTGTATCGTGCATTCACCGTGCGTGTATCGTGCATTCACCGTGCGTGTATCGTGCGTGCGTGTATCGTGCGTGTGGTCAGTTTGAATTTTAGAAGGTCTGTAACACAATTTCGTCATATCTTTTTGATGCGATTTATCACCATTCTTTACTTGTAATGAGTAACGCGACGGTTATCTCAAAAAGAAGAAACTCTATACACTTTCGGAGAACCCGAGATCGCCCAAGTTTTCTTTTATTTGTGCTTTTCCCTTTAACCATGGTGTTGATGGTTTTCTTGGATTTGTGACAAACAGTCAGAAATGAAAAGAGAAACTGAATTCAAATGTCAAATGTCGTTTATTTCTGATTTAAAAAGCGCAGGAAGCAAACATTTCCTTTTTTTTTTGGTTTTAAGATATAAAAAAACAAATATATAACTTTCGATTGTTATTGTTTGTTTCTCAAAACGAAAGACGCTTTGTGGCATTACATTTCTTTCTCATTGTCACCTATAAAGTAGCAACTGAATTTTTTTACATCTTTTCTATCTTATTTTAGAATCGACAACACAAACATCATTGGAGTAAAACAGAAATTCAAAAGTGAACAATTCCATTAGAAACTTCAAGTTCTCCAAATAATTTACTAAAATACTGTTAGTAGTTTAGAAGTAATTTCAAATAGAAAAAAATAACAATTAATGATTTTCGTGAATCCAACTCGATTTTCTTGACTAACCAGGAACTTTCAAATCTAAACATTCGACCGTCAGAGATGTAAAAAGAAAACGTATACACTCTAGAAAGCATATGACTAAAGGTATCTACTACCCCTTTGTAGTTTTGCTATTGAAAAACCCAATGAAATTATTAAGATTAGAAAAAGGATAACAGATGAGGCACAATGACATTATGTACGAAAAGTTTTCCGAAATTTTCATTAATAAATAGTCGAGTATATAATAAAATGAAGGCACGTCAATGTTATTTTTAAAGAAAGCAACAAAACACCATTTTGATCTTAACATGAAATAGAAAATACAGAATTTTATAAGGTATTTCAGATTCTATTGAGGTTTTACATAAATCCAATCTCTGATATTAAATGAGTTTGCGGGTACTAAATAAGAACGAACCGACTCATCGATCACTCCGCTTCAATAATCAGAGATATACACATACCAGAAGAACAGAAAAAGTCATTTAAGTTTTAGTATTCTGCCTAATTGGAGATACAAATGAACACAAAATGCCCAATAATTGTTATTTATAACTAATGACCGTCAATAACAGTACGAGAAACTAGTCTTCAGTTGGTATTTCCAAAACAGGTTATGCATTTAAATTTAGATTTTGTAATAAGCATAACACTACTATTTATTTTCGAAAAATCGACAAATTAATTATCATGGCATTTTCACGTGTTGTACAATACCTAGTAATTGTAGATATATATGTACTACCCAAGGATTCTGAAAACGCGTCTATTTGCAGCACATCTACATCACAAACCTTTCTATGATTGCCCGTTTATAAATTTTGTAATTTATAAAGAAACTAAGGTTTCAACTCCCTCAGGCAAAGTTGACCTTAGATGAATTTGGATTTTTTGGGGGATTTTTTGGTCATATAGCTCTGCAACTGTTTTGGTTCTTATACATCCTCGGCTTTCAAATATTCGGCTTTGACCGTTCCTCATGAAGGTAAATCCCGAAAAGCGCTTCGGACTCATGAAATTGATAACGTGATGTTTCATTTTTTATCTAAACTTAATGTACATTTGTCATCAGGACAACTAACGATGGACTCACCAGTTACTTTAAATTAAAATAGGAAACAACAAAAATATAGAATTAGATCTATCATTTTTTTGGACCATATCTACAGATGGAAACATGTGTTTTAATACAAATCAGTTTTAATCTTTTAAACACCACCGATGCTACTTACGTTTCCGAATAAGCGACACTTTTAAATACAAGTAACACTGTTGTCAGGTACTTTTAAAAAATCCTGTTGCATCGGATATTGAAAAAAACTTAGATTTTTAGAGTTCTTGATGAATGTAAATCCAGAAAATGGCTTCGAACGCATACAATATCTAAAGTGTTATGTTCATTTTTTATTCTGCTACAAGTAGGATATATTGTGCCAATCATATTATAACACATTTCAGATAAATCATATAGTTAAAGACCACATTAAAAATATAATCTGATACTAAAAAATATAATCTAATATGTTGTAGATAGTGTTCAGTTAGCATAACGCAGACAGAAACTTCAAATGCTAATGGAGTTCGGTATTGCTGTTGGATGAAGCCAGTCGTATGGATTTTCTCTTATTTTGTTGCGCTCGTCAATTGTTTCACCAACATTCCTTAGGCTTTGTCGAAATCTACAATGGAAACAAGATGGCGGATTATTGAACAGACAGCAAAAGAAACAAATATTAGAATCTTTAAAACAGTTCAAAGTTTTATTTCAGTGGTGTTGTCTGGTTTTGGATTTTGACTAATGATTCTGAACGCAGATAGTTATACAGAATTAACAAGTAAAAATCGTCCGAATGTCACTCAAGATTACAATACAAAACTTCTGTATTCACATTATGTATAATGAGGACACGCTTCAAATAAAGCATAGTTGGGTACTAAACTTATTGGCTTTTTAATTTGTATCTTGCTTTTGCGAAGCCTAAACACTTTTCAGGTAAACAGTGCATTTCACTTCCCTGTTCATTTATTCATTACCTAGTTTATAGGTTCTGCCTTTGATTCCACACAAGCTTTACAGAAATGTGCAAATGATATTTGATAACGAAATATTTAATTTTTGCTATGTAATTTAAGTTATATTTCTGATTATTCAATATATTATCCATTATTGCAATAGTTTTTAAGCATTTGATAGGCGAGATTCCCAACCACTTACTTTGCATAATGTTTAGATCAAAGTATATTTCAGTACTATAGTGTTAAACTTGTGCTTAACACAACATTAGTGTATAATACTATAGAACAATAGTCATGGTCATTTTTGGCTTTTCAGTTTTTGATTTCCCTTTATATTCAAAATTGTATATCGACAATTTCAATGCAATTTTACTAATTTGATTATTTTGTATGCAATCGCAAGTTTTTTTTAAAAAGAATACCAATCTCAATGTATACCACGAAGTAATTTATCATTAACTAATTGCTCAATCCGACACCAAGGATATTCATTTCTATAGAGCAGGGAGTAAGAAAAAAACAAATGAGACAACAAAAACGTCCCTTTGAAGTATTCACGATTTACGATTAATACATACGCTTAATTGGCAACATATGCCATGATACTTCAAATTTGTAAAAAAGCTGGTCTTATTTGACATATTACTGGACTCCATACCTATCCCTCGAAAATGCTTCTATATAAACAGCGGGAGGTGCTTACCCTCTGGTCTCACTTTGTATAGAATGCATGCTATTCCGATTATTTTCAATACAAGGTTGTTTGCACGTTAAACTAGTTTAACCCTCCCACATCTTGTGTCTGCACCAAACCAAGCTATCAGAATAATTTGTTATTTATTATTGTTTGCCTTTGTAAGTTCGTCTATCATTTTCCGAGGACTCGGATGTTTGTGGTTGATGTAGTATTTTCTGCTGTTTAAAATTTGTCCTTTTAATACTTTTTATGGATTTTACATCGGCCATTAAAAGTAAGCTAAATCATCTGTTCGAATTTGTTGTTAATTGTATATGTAAATTAACAAAAATTCATAGTTATACATTTGAATGTACAACATGTTTAGGAAAGGGTATTACATATAGTATGTATCCATACTAATTGCATTGTCAAACAACGATATGCTAGAAAATTGCATGCGTCGAAATCAGTGTGTTACATTTGATTTGATATTTTCTCTGTATAAAAATGTTATTATATACTTCTATGTTTATTAAGTCATATCATAATCTTAAAAAAAATCACGAAAACATTTATTCCCCACCATTAATCAAGCTGCTTTAATAAATTTGTATCAGGAACTGAGTGCACATGTTTTAACTGCATATATCATAAGTTAACCATCATGATGTACACTCTTTTACTTATATCCCTACTAATTTTTAAATTATAAGGAAACATCTGAAATATAAAAGCTGCATAAAGTCTAAACTTACTCATTTACAAGTTTCACTGCCGGTGGATCTACAATCAACTGCTTTTCAAAATCACCAAGACTTTGTGTTGCCTTCTCACTAAGTACTTTTGTGATCGACATTAACCCGAGAAGCTCAGCTCGGTTAGCAATAGACTTCAATATGGTTTCAATCTCTACTGGACTCTAAAATTTCAAATTAATATATAAATGCTGTTAATTGTTCCATTTATATCTGTTGTATGAGTGAGGGGTATAATTTTTTCTCAAGACGTCTGATTTTCATGTATCCCACCTTCACTGTCTTACGTTGGGTTTCTAATGTTTTACACTGTCTTTTATACATACGATGTTATTTCACTGTAAGTCTTTTAATATCAATCCTTTCATGAAACTCATGATACATAAATTAAGTTGATTTAAATCGTCTTTCAGGATTTTTCTCGACATGTTTTAGGATGTACAACAAGGCAATCTTTTTAAAATCATCATTTTTAAATGCTCTTTATGTTTGTTATTTATTTGGCCTTTAAAAAAGAAGGTTTTTCATTTGAGCGCCACTGATGAGTCCTGTGCAGATGAACATTTATCCGGTCTTCTAAATTAAAAGCCTGGTAGCTTTGGATAAACACTTTTCTTACAACCACTGGATCGATAATACTACTGACTATATTCAAAGAAGTATACAGTATAGAAAAGTAAACATGTAATTGCTACAAATAGTTGTGAAACGATACGCGCTTTAACATTAAGGCTGAGACTATCATAGCGAAAACTAACAGCTGATTTTAATCAGGTTGATATCATATATTAAATTTAAGTTTTTGAAACAATTCACATACATGTATTCAAATGAGCTCAGTGTGCTATTCATCGCTATATATTGGTATTTGAGGCATTTTGATACAAAATTGAAAATTTTACATTGATGATTAATATTACATCGAATGATGTCGCTAACCAAAATGATTTATTTCGTATCAGTATTACAATATTAAACTTAACTTTCAACATTGTGTTCATACAAAAATTTACATGGCAGTTTTCGTTGCCGCTCAATAACATTTTAGGTACCTTATTGATTTTACTGCGGTCAAAGAGCTTTACAATTCAGTTGCTGAAAACTTTCTCAAGTCAGGCTAAATGGACAATGTGCAGTTCATTGTTGTTTGTCTAATTGTGCATATCTGTTTTTCTTCGGGGGAATTGGGTGTTGGTTGATGATGTGATCTGTTGTACCGTGTAGTAAGTTTGGAGATTCTTGTTTTTCTTTTAATGTATATTTCAATCGACAGTAAAGTGAATAAAAGCTCTTTTTTTTTTTCTATTTAACAATGCCAAATTCTCTTCGTGGCAATATATTATTGCTGTCCCGTGTTATTTGATCCAATATTTGTAAACAAAAAAAAACAGGACACGCCTTACCTTATCCTTAGGAGGAACTCCATGCATAGTAAACGGGAATCTAAAAGGAGCTGCGTACTCGTCATACTGTTGGAAGTTGGCTGCAGCATGGGCAACGCTACATGTATATATAATGGCTGTCAACGTCACCACTAGCTGGTCAGTTGTTTCAAATTTGCCGTCATTTGGAACTCCCTGCAAAGTTGTAATATAACATAAGTCTACTTTTTAAGAAAAAAATAAGACGACAGGAGAGATAGATTTATTTAATACAATCATCTTGATTTAAGGCAAATACGCGATATATTTTTTGCAATTTTTGTTATTTCAAAAATTGTATTTTCAACCAAAAATTAAAAAATCGATATTAGAACTTTAAACTTTAAAATTAAACATGGTCTACTTAAAACTTTAATTGCCTTTGCAGATATTTGAATACTTAATTCTCAACATCGAAATTAAGTGCCGGCTTATGGCATCATTTTTCCGCAAAATAAATTGACCCCTGTGTTCAATAACACGGTATTTTCTCACTTTCCAATTTGATCAGATTCTTTTAATCATATGCATTTGCTTTGCAAATGACTGTTTTTCATTGGATAATTTAATAGTTTTTCTTATTTATTATATTTTATGATAAATTGGAGTTCAAACTTGTGTATCGTTACTTTTGTTGACTAGTATATGTATTAATTGATTGTCTGATTAAACGGCCACTTGCAAATATTTCAAGCATGTCAAAGACAATATAACATATATATAAGATAGAAACTACGAACCAAAATTCCTACACCACCATCATCTCTTGACTTTACAATTTCTGCGCCCCAGTTCTGTATTTCATAGTCGGCCTTCAGTGAACCTTTTTCGGCTATAACATAAACAAATTGGATTTCAATAGCTATTGATACTGATTAATGATAATACGTTTAAAATAGAATCATGTCCTACTTCAGTACAAGCATTGGTGCAACAAAAATGTTACTACAGATTAGATGTTGTGAATAAATAAATATTGCCCTAAGAAAATGTACTATTGTTCACTGTTGATGACATTGGAACAATATGCATTGCTATTATTGAGTTCTCTGCTAATTAATAAACTAGAATAATCATGTAGGAAAGACACATTTCTGTGATTAATTTTGTTTCAAGAAATTAATACTGCAAAAACATGACTTGAAATCAGTCATCATAGACACCCTGACAAAAGACACAATCGGAAACCAAATGTGAAGAACACACTGTTGACATTTAAGAATGAAAGACACATTTAAAATCTCACATGTAGGACACATAATGTTGCCACTGTTTGGTTTGATTAGAGACATGTTAGAAGTGAAGTGCAATCACGAAAAACTGGTCAACAGATTTAAAAACAATATAAAATTTCATATATAATCAGTAGAACTAACCAAAATGAATTCAAAAGCACTTACAATAGTAGTGAGTCACATATTTCTGAACGTAATTTTTGATGGCGTCATAAAGGAGAAGCGCATCATCCCTCATCTGATAGGCATCAGTTAAAACAGACTGTTCAAGAACCTGAAAAGTAAAACACGTGGGCATCTAGCAGCATACCGTTAATTTCATAACTATCGAAATCAAATATTTTGTAGTGAGTGTTTAAACAAATAGCAGATTCCCGTAGATGGTATCTCCTTAAAACATTATATTGCTGTACATTAGTATTTTCCGTTAACGTTCACGAATTCCAGCATTTACAAAAAATCATTTGGTTTTTTATACAACTGTATCTGATATTATCAACAAAGCAATTGAGTATCAAAACTGATGGTTCAGCATCCACTGTATCGCATTTCATGCACAATTAAGACATTGTTTACCATTTACAGCAAATATTTCAATAACACATTCTCTCGTTATCATTTTGTCGTAATATAATAGAACTTAAGATTAATGATTAGACAGTTCCCTTCTTTTTGAGTTTTTCTCTTTCCTTCATGATAAGTTTTCGTAAATTCTTCAATACAAAACCTATATTTCTCAATTCTTCCGAAATGGATTCGTTTGCAGTGACGACTCATATGTGTCCATTATTTTCATTATTTTGAAACTTTTCGTAACAAGAATATGTTTAGAATAATATTTTTTGTAAATTTTGGCTGTCAAAGAAAGTAAGGGAGCAAACATTTTACTTCAAAAAGGGGGGAGGGGGGGTTATGGTTTTTTGTCTGAGTCAGAACATTTTTTTTTAGTTTTTTTACGCTATTAATCTGATTATTTTTTTCAAAATTTAAGACTATAAGGCATGGGGAAAATCTATATTCAGAAATTTTTTTTTTGTCATCTGCTTGACCACAATATTTTTTTCATCAAATTAGGGATCAGAGTATTTTTTGGAATAAACCATACCCCACCCCCACCCCACCACATTCCAAGATGCTCTAGTTTGTAGTTTCTGAGAATAATGCGACAAAAGTAGCCAGACGAGAGAAGAAAGGAAAGCCAGTATAGTCCTCCTTCGAACGGGAACGGATATAATAAAGGTAAATTCTAGCTAATAGCTGAATAGTATTTCAACAATCGTATCTTATTTTTTGTCTTAATCGCAGCTAATGCCCCCTTAATCATGTTATCGTTAGAAGTTAAAGTATCAATAAGTTTACAAGGATCGTATTTAAGTTAACGGTCTCTATTAAAAAACGTAAAATAAGAATGTTATATCCCATTTGCAAAACAGCACAGCCAATTGTACAATGTAAATCTGTGTAACTTTATCATAAATTAAGGCAACAGTAGTTTACCGATGTTCAAATCTCCGTAGACAGAAGAAAATAATTCATAGTTTACACTATCTTAGAATTTACCAAAATTAAGCAATTCTATTTTTTCGTAATGTCTCCTTGAATTTCTTATTCTTTCTGGTGATTTTCATGAAAAATTCTTTAGGAATCATTTTGGTTAACTCCATTAATTTCATGGGATTTGTATTACTTATTCTTTAACTTTCGTGGAATGTTGCTTATGTTTTCACCCTTTTTTCGTTTACCCAAGTAGTAGATAATTTTCTAAAATTTTAGTTCTCCCCTCTTACTTTCAATACCAGAATTTCATTTCGATTTTTAGTAAGTACATTGTAAGTCAACTTTTGTCCTGAATTAACTCGTGCGAAATCGTATGTTATAAAATATAATTCATTTAAACGAACCCCTCTGCTCTTTAAATTTTCTGGTAAAGTTCCATGTAAATCCAGTCTCCAGAAATCCATACTGAAAGACGAAAATTGGAAAAGAAATTTACCTTGAAATGTATAAAGAAGACGCATTCTGGACACAAAACAGACGAAGTTAAATAACATATACAAATAGTATACGTTAATATAATAAAAGCATGTCATTAAACTATGCCAATATATTAAAAACAAGCTCAAATACTTTGGATACAGTTGAAAAATATTTCTTTTCATCTGATCGAGATGCAAGTCATATTTTCGAATCAATAATTTAAGAAAAAATATTTCATGTCAGCATGTTCAGTACAATGAGCTTGCTTTAAGTAACTGCGATCCCATTTTGATACGGTTTTTATCACTGTTTTGTTTAACTTGTATTGTTGTTTATCTTTTATTTTAGAGTTCATCACTTTTTTTTTCTAAATTGATTTTTACTCTTTTAAGTAAATCTTATTAATCCACGGGGAGGGGTTGAGACTTAAAATCTTAATTTTTTACCCTTTCACATGCTCGTGTACCGATCCTAAAAACTATCGAAAGATACCTAGCTCATGATTTTGTATACTAGACACGCGTTTTATATGCATAAGACTCATCAGTGAAACTCACACCAAAACAGTTGTAAGGCCAAATCATATTCGAAGTTGAATAACAATATCAAACTAAGAATCACGAAATTTATGCTAAATACGGCAAAGCAAATTGTTTCCTGGTAGAAAAAACCTTGTAAGTGAGGATCTTCGTCAGTGATTGTATTTTAACACATCAACATGTTGCTGTTTTGTGAAACATCTTGCGTTTTGAATGTAGCAATTGTATACACGTGACAGATGATATAAAGTATTGTACAACATCAGTCCATTGTGAGAATATGAACGTTAAGCAATAGCATATTGTAATTTTGGGAGTTGGTGTTGATTGCAGATCTTTATTAGTCTCTTTGAAATGAAATGTCTGTTGCTCTCTCATTGATGTATACCAGAATTCCAAGTGGTGAAGTTAAAAATTACGGACGCCATCATGAGTTGGTTGACCGTTACGGAATACCTGTTCACAGATGATGACGAATATGTTCCAATCGTCGCAACCGAAATCTCGCCCTCCTTTTCCACGAATACGACCTACCGAACTAGAATTAACACCGTGTTTGGACTTACATGAGCAACATGACGGGTGCCACATGTGGAGCAGGATCTGCCTTCCCTTCCGGATCACTTGAGATCGACCTCAGTGTTTGGTGGGGTTTGTGCTAATTATTTAGTTTTCTATGTTACGTTTGTAATACTGTTGTTTGGTCTGCCATGGCGTTGTCAGTTTATTTTAGACTTAATAGTTTGAATGTCCCTTTTGATATCTTCGCCCTCTTTTTTAAACAAAATTATTTTTTTACAGGCAGAACATACACTCTAATAGGCGTCTTTTATTTTTTTCTGTTTTTTTTGTTAATATCCATGTATCAAAGCAACTGTTTAATGTTCTTACCTCTTCTTCATTAAGTAGAAGGCAGCATTAATTCCACCATTTGAAGTTTTGTCAAAGTAACCTCCTGGGTTGACCAAGACACCAAGACCAAGGCTGAAGTTATATGCCAGAACCAAAGTTATTTCAGTATTCACATTATCAAGACGTTTATCTTTTTAAGGTCTTTCCACTCCGTTAGGAAAGACCTTATTGTTTTTCTAATGGTTTTTTTTTTTTTTTTTTTTCTTCCAGCATTTTTTTGACATGGCCTCCCCTCGTTTCTATTGGAGTTATCAAGAACAAATATGGACCATCGATAGAACTCATCATGAAGTATTACCAGATGAGGGCACGTAGGATTTCATCATCCCCTGTAGAAGTTATCTCCCTTTTATTGGGTTTTTTCAACATGCCCCCCCCCCCCCTCGTTGTTTTTTAAGATATCATGATTTTATGTGGACAATAGGTAGATCTCATCATGATGTATTACCATATGAGGGCACGTAAGATTTCATTATCCCCTCTGAGAGTTGCATCCCCTTGAAGCAATTTCTTTTATTTGCATTTTTCTTAAAAAGTATAAGAGATAGAATCGAATTGAAAATGGCAGCATCTACAGTAACAAGTATGTTATCAATCCTTATAAGGAGTTATTTCCCTTGAAAAATTTTACACAATTTTTGAAAAATTCTATTTCGAGAACCGGAAGTCGTAGAGACTTGAGATTTTCACCAATAATCTTTAATTCATGTGACCTTTTATTTGCACCCAAGGTCAAAGGTCACTGAGTTCAAAAAAAATTTACGCTGCAATTTCAAGCTTACATATTAGGAAAACGATAAGAGTTTGCTGCATACATACTGTGTATAAAATGTTCCTCTCGACGAGCTCTATATTTTATACATTAAGCTCAAAAATATCCGACCGTCTGTTCAAAAGTTACGACGAGATAATTCTTTAAAGTATAGTTTTGTGTGCATATCTTTTAAAAGGCAACAGATATCAACCTACTATAAACTGCAAAAATGATGAGTATTTTAAGACCTTCAGTTTGAGGTCAATGTCAGGTCATGATGAAATTTTACCTTGACCTTCAAAGTGTACTATGACCTTGACCTTGTGACATTTGAAAGGTCAAGTGGTCCTGAGTTGAATGGTGGTAGTCCCATGTCTCTAAGACTTCCGGTTCTCAAGTTTGGTATTGCATCATATATTTGATGATTCATTGTGACCTTTAAGAACTTTGGAATTGTCCCAAATTTTTGTCCACAATATTGTCCTTCAACTGCAGATTATTTATCATTTAACAGATTTGAAATATCTATTGTCGTTTTAGAGATAATGCAGTTTGAAATTTTGCGAGCGGAGGCATGTATTTCTGAATCAACAACAGCTTTCCACCTGAAATTTTCAGAAATTGAAGACTTAAACATAATTATATGTTTGACCAATTACCAGAAACTTTAAATGAAAAACTAAAAAAAAAATCAATTTGAAATTTTCATCTTTTACATTGACTTTGTAAGTTTCATAAGTTCTATTTATATAATTGATATTGCATCATTTTTGGCACTTTGCCAAATGCGGTCATTATGTATATCAAATTGAAGGTCTTAATGAGCTCTACTCAAAAATGAAAATTTCAAACCCCTTTTTCATCCCAGTGGGAAGGGTGGGGTCATTTAGTGCAAAAAATTCAAACTTCTCAGATGGTTAGGTTGTCGCATATCAAATGAAAGTCCATAAAGCGTACATTTCAAATATCAAATTGACGTCCCCAAAAATGGGTTGGGTGGGTCATTGAGTGCAGAAAATAAATTGTCTTCTAAGGTAAGGTTGTTGTATATCAAATGAAAGGTCATAATGTGTACATTTCAAATATCAAATTCCTGTCCTCCAAAAATGAGGTGGATGGGGTTATTAAGTGCAAAAATCAAACTTTCTAGAACATGGCGTTGTCGCATATCATATGAAAGATCATCAAGTCTACATTACATATATCATACTTCCGATATCAAAAATGTAGGCGGATGGGGTCATTGAGTGTAAAAAGTGAAATTTTTCAAAAGGTATGCTTGTCGTATATCAAATGAAAGGTCTTAAAAAGTACATTACAAAAACATCATTTTTAAAGGAAAGACCTTTCAATTGTTTTACAAACAATTGAGATACTAGTTGGGTTTTTTTTCTTCCAGCATTTTTTTGACATGGCCTCCCCTCGTTTCTATTGGAGTTATCAAGACCAAATATGGACCATGGATAGACCTCATCATGAAGTATTACCAGATGAGGGCACGTAGGATTTCATCATCCCCTGTAGAAGTTATCTCCCTTTTATTGGGTTTTTTCAACATGGCCCCCCTCGTTATTTTAAAGATATCATGACTTTATGTGGACAATAGGTAGATCTCATCATGATGTATTACTACATGAGGGCACGTAGGATTTCATTATCCCCTTTGAGAGTTGCATCCCCTTGAAGCAATTTCTTTTATTTGCATTTTTCTTAAAAAGTATAAGAGATAGAATCGAATTGAAAATGGTAGCATCTACAATAACAAATGGCAATGTTAATAAACATAAACAATTAGTATGTTATCAATCCTTATAAGGAGTTATTTCCCTTGAAAAATTTTACACAATTTTTTAAAAATTGTATTTCGAGAATCGGAAATCATAGAGACTTGGGACCTTCACCAATAATCTCTTTTTCATGTGACCTTAAATTTGCATTCAAGGTCAAAGGTCACTGAGTGCAAAAACAATTCACGCTGCAATTTCAAGCTTACATATTAAGAAAACGATAAGAGTTTGTTGCATACATACTGTGTATAAAATGTTCCTCTCGACGAGCTCTATATTTTATACATTAAGCTCAAAAATGTCCGACCGTCTGTTCAAAAGTTACGACGAGATAATTCTTTAAAGTATAGTTTTGTGTGCATATCTTTTAAAAGGCAACAGATATCAACCTACTATAAACTGCAAAAATGATGAGTATTTTAAGACCTTCAGTTTGAGGTCAATGTCAGGTCATAATGAAATTTAACCTTGACCTTCAAAGTGTACTATGACCTTGACCTTGTGACATTTGAAAGGTCAAGTGGTCCTGAGTTGAATGGTGGTAGTCCCATGTCTCTACGACTACCGGTTCTCAAGTTTGGTATTGCATCATATATTTAATGATTCATTGTGACCTTGATGAACTTTGGAATTGTCCCAAATTTTTGTCTACAATGTTGTTCTTCAACTGCAGATCATTTATCATTTAACAGATTTGAAATATCTATTGTCGTTTTAGAGATAATGCAGTTTGAAATTTTGAGAGTGGAGGCATGTATTTCTGAATCAACAACAGCTTTCCACCTGAAATTTTCAGAAATTGAAGACTTAAACATGGTAATATGTTTGACTAATTACCAGAAACTTTAAATGAAAAACTAAAAAAAAAATCAATTTGAAATTTTCATCTTTTACATTGACTTTGTAAGTTTCATAAGTTCTATTTATATAATTGATATTGCATAATTTTTGGCACTTTGCCAAATGCGGTCATTATGTATATCAAATTGAAGGTCTTAATGAGCTCTACTCAAAAATGAAAATTTCAAACCTTTTTCATCCCAGTGGGAAGAGTGGGGTCATTTAGTGCAAAAAATTTAAACTTCTCAGATGGTTAGGTTGTCGCATATCAAATGAAAGTCCATAAAGCGTACATTTCAAATATCAAATTGACGTCCCCAAAAAATGGGTTGGGTGGGGTCATTGAGTAGAGAAAATAAATTGTCTTCTAAGGTAATGTTGTCGTATATCAAATGAAAGGTCGTAATGTGTACATTTCAAATATCAAATTCCTATCCTCCAAAATTGAGGTGGATGGGGTTATTAAGTGCAAAAATCAAACTTTCTACAACATGGCGTTGTCGCATATCATATGAAAGATCTTCAAGTCTACATTACATATATCATACTTCCGATATCAAAAATGTAGGCGGATGGGGTCATTAAGTGTAAAAAGTGAAAATTTTCAGAAGGTATGCTTGTCGTATATCAAATGAAAGGTCTTAAAGAGTACATTACAAAAACATCACTTTTACAGGAAAGACCTTTTAATTGTTTTACAAACAATTGAGATACTAGTCTTTTATTTATTTTTACTACTTAAGTTTTCTTTAACCAATAGATTTATGTTTTTTTTACAACTATAACTTTTAAAATTATTTAAGATTTTGTCTTGGAGAAATGCGAGTTACATGTTTCATTTAAGATCAAAAGAAAAAATACATACAAATCTATAGCAATCAGGTAGATAAAATGAGGATTAAGTAATCTGAAAATAGGATGTGATGGTGAAAGGTTTCTCTTTGTCGCAACACATATTCCTTCCATCATGAAATGGGTGAAATCTGAAAAGTAAAACAACAGTAATCAATTCATGCACGTTTTCTTTAAGTTTTGAGATTTTCATTTATTCATATTAGAATGTTATAATCAATTTTTATTTTATTTTTTTTTTTTGGGGGGGGGGGGGGGGAGGGCGATGTTTGGGTGGCCGAGTGGTTTAATTAGTCTAACTACTTTATCACTAGCCTATCAACACCGAGGTTGTGAGTTTGAATCTTATTTGGCTAGGATTGTTAGTTTTTAGAATATTTGGTATGATTGCAATCAATTCTATATTTTTGTTAATACTTTTCTTTTGAATTTCTTTTTGTACGTGTCTTTTCGTCTTATAGCTCGCCAAGCATGTATACATTACAGAATTGCGGAATAGCATGAAACATCTACGTAAAGTTTTTTTCGCGATTTATGTAGCATAAACCTGAGGTAAAATGATTCCAAGTGTATTGTTGTTTAATCGTTTAACGTGATTAAAGAGGCATTAGCTGTCAAATTCATGTTCACCGATTTGACTCAAATTTTCACAATTAATTTATAACATACTAAAACGTATATCTAAATCATATAAAGTCTAAAATAAACAATTTTACAATGCATGAGCTTGATAATATGTTCCAGCATTCCGTGTGTATTTTAGTCTAGACGCCATCTAATTAACCATCGAGATGACCTCCGAAGACTGCCGACGGTAAAATAAACCGATATAAACATGAATATACATATAAATAGATCGAAAACTCGTGCAATTGGATATTTTTAGGTCTATTAGATTTCATATTATAGGTTAAAACATATGTCAATCATCGTTTTTATCTGTATAAGAATGAGCTTTTGTGGATAGAATCAGTCAAATAAATGGTTTACCCTTGTTTCACTTTCAATGTTGACATTTTTTTCCTTTTAATAACTGAACACACATTATTCATGCGTAAACCATCTCTAGCTAACGCATTAAATTGGAGGTCACATGAATACGGATTCAATGAGGTCTAATTTGCAAGTGAATAATTCATCAGCGATGTTTTTAGCTTATTTTGACAAAATTGAACCAAACTGGCTTCTGAGAGCGAATTATTATTTCACTATTTCACTTTCATTAATGATTGAACAAAAAAAATCATATTTTGATATTTTTTATATCTCGTAGCTAATGCCCCTTTAAGAGTTTGGTAAATCTGGTATCGAATATATCAAGGAATTTCTAATGTAAAATATTTTCCTACGTACTCAAATGAGTAAGAGCTTGATGGTATGTAGCTTCAGCCTGATTGTACCACAGCTTTGCCAACATCCACGTGTACACTGGATCTGATGGTAAGAAGACCTGTTATAAAGTAAGAAAAATCAAAGTCCAGAATGTATGTAAAAGTCAAAGATATTATCGTGCACTAAAATTTAGTAGCTGGACGTCAGTATACTGTGTCGAGATAAATACTTCATATATAACATTTATAAGTGCTGCCGGGATGTTGGTACATACATTTTAAATTCACAAAAGGAAAAGTTAAGCCTCCTCTTGTGTACAGTTTAGATCTCAATATATATGCACTATTGAATTATACGTGTTTGACAATGCATGATACAGACTGACTGTAGTCAGTATCTTTGATATCCTCCATTAAAAATATAGTGAAAAAAAGCATTCAACATAACGATAAACTTTGAATTATTCAATAAATTAAATAATCTATGAAGCGAAACATGAAGAAGTTAAAAGATAATGCTAGCTTCCTTTTTGATTTTCGTTCTTAAGGCCTCAGATGTCTCTTTTGGTACCTTTACTTTGAGCATAATGTGGAATTGTTTTCAACATGTAATAATTCTACATAAAAGAGAGAAGAAATATACCAAAGGGACATTCAAACTCATAAGTCGAAAATATATAAAAGTTTAAAAACACATTTTACTGCCATTCAAACACAGACTATGCATTGACGAAGCCAAAAATTAATTTTTTTTTCGTTTTTTTTTTGTAATGATTAGTTTATCTGTAGTTAAACAATGATTAGATTTTCCAACTGTAATGCTAAAACAACAAAAATACCGAACTCGAAGGATATTTCAAAACGCGGAGAGTCATCAAATGGCAAAATCAAAAGCTCAAACACATCAAACGAATGGAAATCAACTGTCATATTTCAAACTTGGAATATGCATTTTCTTTTGCAGAAAATGGTAGATTAAACCTGGTGTTATGCTAGCAAAACCTCTCACTTGTATGGCAGTCATATAGAATTCCATTATATTGACAACAATGTGTGAGTAAAACAAACAGACATAATAGGTAAAAATGTCAAAAATTGGGGTACAGCAGTCAACATTATGTTATTATCTTAATCACTATAAAAACAAATAACTAACGAATAGGTTCCATAATATACAATGAAATGACATGACATGGAAAGTAATTAATCAACTTACTGGGTTATCCGTTCCTATTTGCTGAAATAACTGTATAGCTATCGGCATAAGATGGTTGGCATTGTTGAAATAAAACAAGGCAAAAGGGCAAGTTATCTACAAACATTATACAAATAAAATAGAATAAAATTTATCTAAAATAATTAATAATATGTACCCCCTTTTAATAGGTAGACTGTTTACATTTTTACATCTGTTGTTAATCTGACATCATCTGAAGTAATCTCATCAAGCTTTATACATAAATAACAAAGTATAAAAAAGAGAAATACTCGTACCTACTTACTAGGAACATTCCAGTTCCTCGTCAAATTAACCAAGAAAATTTTGTTAATTAAATAACGGTACCAATTTTACTACTGCACCACACGTGCTTTCGACTATAATGTACCCTCAGTCATCTTCATAACCTTGGAGGTTATTTGTCTATAAGTAGATACTATAAGTATCATTTACAACACACAGATTTGTTTATTGCATATGTATTATGATGGCTGGTTTGTAATCGATAACAAGGTAATTGGTTTTGTTTAATGATGTTAGCATGATTTTGATGAAACCCCTATAAAATTATAAAATGTCCAAATAATGCTAATGCAAAATATTTCATTACTGTAATTTAGAGTTTTCTTTTTCAGGCATTTTGGAATCGGTCCATCTCCAAAATACTGAATGGTAGAATCGGCATTGCGTATCAAAATCTAACTAAAAGATATATAAACTTAAAGAAATACAAAATTCTACAGTATTCCCTAAAATAACAATACAGTATGATAATTTTACTGTGCATTGAGAATAAATTTTAGATTACTGTTATCACTCATAGTAATATAATCAAGTTCCAGCCGAAAAAAAAAACACCGACCTAACCATCCTATTTTGAAGTTACCCTCATCCTGAGTTAGAAATGGTAGGTCTTTCATTTCTGCGTGTCTGGTAATTCGAGGAATGTCTAGATAACTTTTGGTTAGAATGATAGCAAATAATGGAGTTAGCTCCCCTTAAATGTTAATTTCTAGTGCATTTCAACCAAATTACCAGAACAGGAGAAGTAAAAGAATGTTATATTCGTGCACCATTATACATTTTGAAGATAAATTAATGTCAACTTGAGTGGCTTTTTGTTTGTCATGTTTTCACCGCTGCCTGATTCTTAGGCAGATTGGCACTTAATGCCTCGCCTTGTGTAGGTTGCTTGCTATCCCATTAACGTCCTCAAGCATTTGTTAATCATGTTTTGTGAGAAATTAGCGAAGGAGCACAGTAAAGACAAATATTAAATTTGTTTACAAAATTGAATAGTCCGCTAACCAAACAACTACTACATGCAGATGAATATAAATTTACCGATGATTAAAAAAATGTTTATTTATCTGATCTTATTTGACAGTGTGACACATTCAAACAAATAGGATTTTACAGTTACATCAGTCGGGCGGAGATCGATTGATCTTGTAGATACTGCATTTTTTTATCTTGAGAGAAGAATTAACATATATTATCAATATCACTTACAAAAATGTCCTCTGTCTTTGCAGGGCATCCTTCTAAGATCGCTAAGTCAATAATGAATAGTCTTTTTTCTTCCATGGCTTGTTCTATAGTCTTGCCTTCCAAAAATGGCTTAACCATTTCGTAAGTCACTCCAAACCTGTCAAGATGTTAATATTTACAATTTCAATTTCTTGAAAAAAAAATGACGTAGTTTATGTCACGCTAAAATTCACGTTTCTCATTCCAAACTCCAAAGTAACTTTCACTTACTCGGTGATGCTTTGTATCATTCCTGTTTCAATGATCATAATGATAATCCTAGAAAACCCATCACCATGAAAGCTAGGGAGCAAACTTGCTTATTTACTTACTGCCATGTACGCCATTGGCGTGTAGGGAAGTAACGAAGATTTTCTACTTTTGTCGGTCGTTGGCAGTTTTCTTTAGTGTGCCCCATGTTTGCTGATGTAGACTAGCCTCTGCTTCTACAGTGATACTCCATGTCATTTTGGATCTTCCTTTTTACGTTTACTTGCCAGTGGAATGCTATCTTATTGATATCATCTTTCTCTTTCCGTGGGACATGTCCATTCCACCTCCAGCATCTTCTCATTATAGTAGTGGCTTCATCTTGTTGGCATTTGGTGACAGGTACTGGTTTGAGATTTGGTCCGGATAGTATATTGCCCAGATCTCCATACAGCCTGCAGGTTGTTAAGAGATGAACTTGCCTTAGATAGTCGTCTTTTAATGTCAAATTCTTTTTTTCTTCCAGTAAAACTGAGTCTGGTTTGTTTGCATTTAGCGTCAGGATTTCAGTTTTCTTGAGTTGATTTTCAGTCCTGTTTGATCTGGATATTTTTGTACAGAGCAAACCCTTAACCTATATATTAAAAATGTCAAAATTATCCTTTGGCCTTGCAAAACAAACTTGTTATAAGTATCTACGTCAAATTAAAAAAAAGGTTTAAATTGCTTTGTACAAAGGTTATTTAAAATTATTAATGAAGTTTTGATTATCAAAATTTTTATATTCTGAAAATAATTATAAAAGAGTTATACTTTTCTGGGATTGCTGTGCACAGGGTGATGAGTAAAGAATTCAAACTTGCAAGTCTCTGTCGCCCAAAATCTGCGTCATCATTGAAATATTCTGAATTCTGTAAACAGAGGACATAATAAAAATTATTGCAAAAAAAATAAACCTTCTTCGAAGAAATTTATTATCGGTCTACCCTTTGGCTGTTTCACTCTCCTCATCTTTTTATTAATTTGTTTATCAATACTTTGTGAATGTAAATGTATGCTTGGCTCATCCTCAATAACTGGACGCACCGGGCTAATCCCCGATGCCATTATGTTTGACCCAAATGGTCAAATCAACTTCGATAAATTGATTGTCAGATGTTTCATCAAATTGATATTGTAAAATATGAAACCTTTCTGTTTCGTTCGCTGTCTACAAAATGCTGCATATTATGAATTTTTTCATATTAATTATTTTGTATGTTCAATATGTTCAATATGTTATTTCAAGACACCTTTATTAACTTATTCACAGAATAGTATAATTATGGGTACCATTATCTTTCCATCCCGTGCAGGAATAGTGCAGGCTCTATTTTCGTTACAGAAACTCCCACAACAACTTTTTGAAGGGTTTATATGTGGAATGTCACAAGCCAAAATATCTGTTCATATCACTTACACATCCCTGGATTCAGACGCATACAATTTATTATGTGTTATTTTTAATTCAAGACGTTTCGTTTGAATGGCCTTGGCCTTTTGTCAGGAATATTGATACGTGATTAAAACAGTATCGTACAATTTTGTTACTTTAGTTAAACTGCTATAAATGTTCCGTGATTATTTGCAAGAATTTTAGTAGTCATTTTACATTGTGTAATAAATAAACGAGAGTAGTAGAAAGGCGAAAGATATTAAAGGGATATTCAATCTCACAAATCGAAACAAACTGACAATTCCATGGCAGAAAACGAAAAGCAACAACAACAGTACACAAGACACATCATAGAAAACTTGTGCACTCTTTAATGTTTTTGATTTTGGCTTTCCAAACTTTTGGCCTAGAACATGACATGATGAAGGTTATTCCCGAAATTCGTGTTGCGCACGCACATGAAAATCAAAACCTATTATAACTTAACAATACAAAACCTGAACGAGTTAAAGAAGAAAGGTAGAATGGTGTATTGAGATGAAAGGTAAAATGTTATGCTCTATGTAAGAGGTTACCTCTGGAACACCAAAGACTGGCGTATACACAGTCTTGACGTCCTCTACATCCTTCCAATTGTAACCATTGGCCATAATTAATCTCTTACTTTCTTCTGTATATATTTTTGTCTTCATTCCAATGTTGAACTGTTTAAGTATACATGACATTAGTTAATCATATAGATAAATAAATATAGACAGTTAAAAGAAGTAGTTTCTAGCACAAATAAATTTGTTTTCTCCTTGTCAATAACTTCAAGTTATATTACGCAACCTAGCTTTTTGTTCTTTAACTACCAGTATATGGAATTGGATGCTGCACATTATTTGTCAATAAGATCAAAAATTATGTACAAACCACTGAAGACAATCAAAAGTAAAATAACAAAAATACCGAACTCCAAGGATAATTCAAAACGGAAAGTCCCTTATCAAATGGCAAAATCAAAAGCTCAAACACATCAAACGAATGGAAAACAACTGTCATATTCCAGACTTGGTACAGGCATTTTCGTATGTAGATAATGGTGGATTAGACCTGGTTTTGTAGCTAGCTAAACCTCTCACTTGTATGACGGTCATATAGAATTCCATAATATTGATGTGTGATGTGTGAGCAAAACAAACAGACAATTTTTGATATATAAAAAGATACAGAAACATTTACCCGACAGAATCAAATAAAATGAAAATATTATAAACATTTGATCATACTAGAGAGTGACAGGTGACTATTGTAAGCACATGGTCAATAAAGATATGAATAAAACCAATAATATATATATATATATATTTCTCTAATTCTATGGAAATTTATCCCTTTCCGAACCCATTGTATAAAAAAATTTAATCAACGTGTGGTTGCCAGTGATCTCAGAAGATGATTGGATGATTTTAAGGGTCTTAACCTTTCTCAGCTCACTGTATGCGTCAAAATATGCTAACAGGTGTAAATGAAATTGACAATTTTATGGAAAGTGGAAGGCACTCGAAGGGGATTTTAGTTTAGCAAAAAAAGAAAATTTATTTTTTAATCATTAGAGAAACAGATTCTTACATAGTTTCTCGATAGTTAAATTATAAATTTTAAAGTCTTCGCCGAGGCTCGGACTTTAAAATTGATAATTTAACTATCTCGATTGGATAAATCCGATAATCCACTGGTATCAATGTAAGAATCTATATATATCAGAACAACAATGCACCACAAATAACCTAAATAACAAAAGATTGTTAAAAAACAAAATCTTAAACAATAAAATCGCAACGTTCTAAAAAAAAAATAATAAAGTAACTTAACTAATCATATTTGCCCGCGGGGTCTATATTATATTTTCATAAATATACTCACTTGATAATCGAATGAAAAAGTTTCATCATCTGGTAGTTCTTTAATCTACAAAAATTAATATATTTAAAAATATATTGCACATTTTTAAAATCCTTCTTTTTGTTGTAACAATATAACAAGGAAGGAAAGAAAATGTAACTTAAACATAATTGATAAATGAGATGATTTATTTTTTTGAAAAATCAACACGTCGTCATACCGATGTACTACATAACCTAACTGAACATCGTCACATTTGACAGTTTTGCTGTTTATATGTTATACCGAACTTTCAACTATACAAAAAGCCACACTTAGCCATTTGTCATAATGATCACTGTTTGTTCTGAAACTCTTCTCCAAAATTTATTTTAAACGCAATAAGGGCGTGACCCATTTGATTTCCTAAAGGAGAAGAGGGTGACTTTATATAATAGGAAATATTTTGCGTTCAAAATAGAAAATAAAAGAAGCAACCTAGCAACAGGTAAAAACATATATTCCGTTCGCGAAAAATCCTTCTGTCCCCTTACTCCAATTTCAAATGGTTGTCTCCCTAACTTAACTGACTTGACCATGTTTAATCTGTTCTTCTGTCATCTATTGTGTTCTATAATTGGCATCATGTTATACATAAAAATGTGTCATAGTTATTTACCTTTTATATACTACAACCTTTAAGTGCATAAACAATCATATGAGTAGTAATTGAACAGATGGTAAAAACCACGACACACCATTAAAATCGTTATGGTGTTCTGTTGTGACAACATGTGATACTACGATTTAAAAATTAGAAATTTATTGAGAACGTTATAAAGAGGTAGAATCAATTTCGACCTTTTTTGTTACACTTGGGCTGTCATCAAAAAGGCTTGCAACATGTTCAATTGCTGCTTCATTGCAAAGTATCACATCCCCATGTGTTTACTTTGAGATTCTATCAATGCTATGGCTTATTTCTTAACATATCCCCAAATTATAAACACATAAAGAAAGCCTCATTCCGTGCTAAGGACGGAGGTATGCAAATTTTTAGTATTTATTAAAACAAATTGTAAATACATACTTCACTAAAAACAAAGTACTGTTGGAACTTAAGTTATCTTTTATCTTCGAGTGCAAATGATTTTATTTTGTTAATTAAGCGGCGTCCTTTGCAGCTGACAAAAACATTGAATTTTGCATGTTTGATTCAAAATGCTTTCAACAGCAAAACGTGGTATTAGATCAAATTTCAATTCATAGAAGTAAGTAAAAGTGTTGTATTATGTTAAAAGTCTATCATATAGACTCTTTTATATTCAAATTCCATTAGCGTCGGCAACTTTTAGATTTTGATCCTGGTAGTTACGAATTCAGAGAGAGGAAATTGTTTTAATCTTTTGATCGCTATTAGAATTGTTTATATTCATAGCAGTAATAATCAACAGAACTCTGCGCAGAAAGGTTTTGTTTTAAAGCAAAGTTATAATGTGAATGTGTTATACGTCCCCTTTTCCAGAATGTGACATACCGAAATAGACGTATTACCGGGTTTGTTCTAACATGAGCAACACGACGGATGCCACATGTGGAGCAGGATATGTGTACCCTTTTGGAGCACCTGAGATCATCCCCATTTATTTGGAGTTTGTGTTGCTCAGTCTTTAGTTTTCTATTATGTGTTTTGTGTACTATTGTTTGTCTATCGGTCTTGTTCTTTTTTATCCATGATGTTGTCAGTTTATTTTCGACTTTTGGGTTTGAATGTCCCTTTGGTGGTATCTTTCGCCTCTCTTTTATACTAGTATATTCAATATATTTTACGCTCCAGATTTGACCATCTTAGACCTTCAACTTTGAGCTTTTGACTGGGTTGATCATGGACATGTTCAATAAATTGATGGTATTTGTAACTTTCCTATTCCTAATATTTCAATTATTTATCAAATGACTTCCTCTTTTTCAAGGACTAATGGTGAACTGTGATATACAACATATATGGTCATAGGACGTCACTCTGAAAATAATTTTGATACATTCATCAAACCTTTTCAATGAATGCGTCAAACTATCGATACTGATAGATCTGAAAAAAAAAGAAAGAAAAGGCCGCCCTTTGATACCATATGATATAGTCCACTCATATTCCACTCTTAATGAAAATTTAATGAATATATATGCATTTAAAATAGTGACACCCAATACGAAAGAATGCTTGTATAATGTAGAAGAGCTGGCAGTCGATAACTATTTTTTTAAATTATCTAACCAAAGGTTTTAAATTCGATTATCACGAACATACAACAATTGATACTATTTGAAAGGATTATTCAGTAATCACGCCGAGTATCCCGATCCCGAATCTGCGGATGGATCCGAATCCCGTGGGTCAATTAATGAAAAGTTTGTAACGGTACATAGGTTAAATCTGGATCCAATTCCCACGGAGCATACTTCCTCCGTGGGAGTCGGATCCATATTTTACTTGCCCACCGTTACAAACTTTTCATTAATTGCTCCTCGGGATTAGGATCCTTCCGCTGATACCCGGTGTGGTATTTGGATTTTAAAATTGAATAAATGAAGCTATAAGCAACCTAAATTTTCAATTCTTGGTAATCTGAATGGCTATTGTTCTTAAGTCGACTGGAACACATTTGATCTGATATTATTAATTAGTGTTAGTCTTCGTTTTGATAATACTTAGACATTTATTTGATGTTACACTTGCCTTCTGTTGGGCCTTTTAAAAAATAGCCGTCCCTGTGTTCTCATCTTTAAAGCGCAATTAAATGACAATTTATCTTTAGTTTTAAAAAGTTGCTAGAGCTTTCATCAGTTAACAACACCAACACATTTAATCGTATTAATAGTATATATGTTAACCAACTGTTCAAATCATAAGGTTAAAAATTATGCAAATATTACATGTACCTGAGCAGGTAGTCCAGGCGATTTCACTTGTAACTGATAGTCTTTCCGTATAGTCTGTAATTCAAGCATTCTCTTTTGTTTGAAAGGATCATCTTGTGGTAGGCATGTGTCTATGTGTTTGAAAAGGTAATGATTGTCTGCTTTGATCCACTTCATAGCAGGGAATATAGACGTGATGTTAGTTGCCACATTAGTTACCTCGATCCAATCTAAATACCAGCTGCTCAGCAAACCATTATTGTCTCGCCATAGCTCGATTCTTTGAACTTCGGGTATGTTGACATCAGAATCAACTGAATAGTTATCAACGCTGCCTCTTTCAAAATCATTTTTAAAGAAATGATCAAGGTTGTACTTGCTTGTCTGGGTACCTTTTCCGTGCAGTATTATACACACATTGGCATCAGTCCCAGCTCCCTTTCTGTCTCCAGTTTTAACGGATATTTTATAGGACACCATATTGACAGGACTTTCAGTCTACAAGTAGTTTACCTGTTGATTAATAAAATTTACATTACTAGTATATGTTTACTAAATCAATAGTTCCTTTTGGGATTCTGTGTCTGGGGCGATTTTCTTATTTTGCCGCCCTCAGAATCCCTTATCAGATGTTTCCCGATTTGCTACCGGTACCAACCGTAGTACGAATTAGGAGTCGTCTTTGAACTTTTGAAAATAATTGATGTATGTTTTATGAATCATCATCAAAAGTCTGTGGAGAATTTTTAGCTGCCACTTGGTATTGATTTTTTTTTTTTTTTTACTTTTTTCATTTTTCCAGTAATCTTGAACGGTTACAGACAGTCTATTACATCTCACATTCTAAGACAGTTATATGTGTATTTATATTCTGCAATTTCATACAAAATACAAATAAATAAACAGACACCCTAAATTTTATCTATTTGAAAGTCATCCGTCACTGTACTGCATACTAGATACAATCGAATCCTAACATTTTTTCCGGAGTAGTTTGGACACAGTTAATTAAGCTCAAATGAAAATCTTCATCTTCATATTGCTTTATAATCATTTTAATTTACCTACGCAAATATGAATTTGTTTTAGATTTTATTTTGTATATAGGCAGCATTAAGCAGCAGACTTGTAAAGATGCAATTATTCAATTTAAAAAAAAACGGCTAGTAAGACTCAAACTAGATTTAAAAAAAACATATTTCATTTTATAAAAAAAAATCGCGCTATGACACTATAACTAATAACGCGCTAGAGATAGAAGAGATAGTAAATTCTATAGTCAAGTGTTTATATACTTGTATTATAAAGCAACACATTTGGTAATCTTTAATTGTATTAGATAAAACCATAAATATAATAACACCATTTCCACGAATGAGGTCTAATATCGAGCGCTGAAGTGCAGAGTGAAAGTAAATAATGCTGATACATAAACGTAAGATCACAAACAACTTCGCTGATTGCAGTTTCATAACTATTTCCCCAAAAAAGTAATACGAAATTATACCTTATTTCAACTATTGTTTCAACTTGAAATCCTCCAGTCGAGACTTTCTTGTCGTTGTTTCACGCCTAGAATGAAAATGAAATAAAATGGTTATCACAGCCTTCAAATATATACAGATTAAAAATCTAAATCGAGAAGACATCCGTGGCTTACTAGTAATTTAATTCTTAATCTTTAAAAAGGATACATACAGTTTAAGTAATCTGCTTAAAAATAAAGGACATCTTTTAAGTAATGTCCAAACAAAAATTATATGTGCAAAATATGTCAATCAATTTTTTTTTTCAGTTTTCCCCTCTCTTTGAATATTTTTTTTTCCCATTCATTTGTTAAATCCTTATTTCTTTTATGTCTCGATAGTATATAAATTGACATCGCGTTTATAGACTCACATCGTCTCGATTACCCAGACGCATATATACATATAGCGTCTGGGTTGATTAACCGGACTGGTCAGATATTTATAGGGGGCGTAACAAAAAATTAAATATAGAACATCATCCATAAATAGCACTTCCGTTATCCCCAAAATAATAATAATAAAAAAAAAACAGTAAGCAGTGTACTAGTATATCTATATGTGATCATTAAACTGACATTCTATGTTCTTGTAGCTCACGCAGTATTCTTGTCTCAGTGGTTTATAAACATTTATTTAAGAATTATAGTCAAAATAAATCTTTACACCGTACTTATTCAGATTTCGGATATTTTTTTCGTTGATTAAAAATACTTATAAGTTTTAACCATTTTTTTGCCATGATTTTTATCTAAAAGACTTTATCATTAACTACTTGTCTAGCTTAAATTTCTACAAAAAACGATTATAAACTGTAACTAACGGTGCCCTTTTTGACCTGAATTTTGTACATGTACATTTAAAAAAAAGAAAAAAAATGAATTGGTAAATGCTCATACATGATCAGTCCAAGTTTTCCAATATAGAACGTGAATGTCTGTTCTAAATGTTAGAGCACTCGTGTATAGAGGGTACCACGCTCTCTGTGCGCTATGAGAGGGGTTCATAGGTGGACCGTTGTACTAAAGGCTAAGTTTCTGCCCCTTTGCAGGTTGCAGTCATAAATTCTCAGATCTGTATCCCGGACGGCCTCTATTACAGGACCTTAGTTTTCTCGTTTGAATTGTTTTACATTTGGGATTTCATGGCCTTTTATAGCTGACTATGCGATATGGGCTTTGCTCATTGTTGAAGGCCGTACGGTGACTTATAGCTGTTAATTTCTGTGTCATTTGGTCTCTTGTGGAGAGTTGTCTCATTTGCAATCATACCACATCTTCTTTTTTATACTTATTTTATAATTATTGTTAATTTCTGTTCGTCCTGAACATGTATGCAATATATTTACCACTATTTACCACAAGACGATAACCAAGCAACCAGCAATCAATCTATTCTTATATTCTAGCACACCACGATATTCTCTTATCTTTATACTATAAAACGCCATTATTCTCTATTGTTTATATCATAGCACACCACTTTTCTCTATTTTTATATTGTAGCACACCATTAGTCTCTATTCTTTATTTTTTGGTCCATTTTTCTTAGTTTTGTTCCATTATTCTCATTTCTGAAACCCCTGTTATAATTTATGCTGTCCTTGTTATATATTCTTTCAGATATCTAATACACCTGAGACTACTATATGTGTTATAGCAGTCTCACGATACACTTACCTTACAAAAAACACAAATCAAGTTACTTCTATGTAAAGAAAACTAATACAAATACTAAGAATGCAATGTAAAACAATTTCCTCAACAGCTATTACTTGCAGATCAGTGAGATCACACAATGAGCCAACTCAATTTTCATTTACAAAATAAACTGCAAACGACAGAATAGTATCGCCTAATCCTTTTGGGAAGAACAAATTTATGAACCAACCTTCACACAATACCACTGTGCCAGTGTTACCCCGTGTCCATAGAGGAAATACGGAACTTAACCAGTCATTCATGCAAACCGAATACTCTTTAAATGCATGTTTGAATCATGCACATGGAGAAGATGGAATAGTATTTATCCCATACTGCATGGTAACTTGTAAAAAAACCAACAACTCAAAAGTGTATTGTTGTCAATTAACTGATTTATTGTTTCAGATTTCCATCATTTCTACTACAATTTTAATATCCATCATGTATTAGTATGCAAGAAAGGACATCTTCACAAGAACAATATCTTCTCTTGTGAACCTTTATATAAAAATAAGGAGATATGGTAATGATTGTTAAAGAGGCAACAACCCACCAAAGTTAAAATGACGTGGATATAAGTAAATATAGTCACTGCACGGCCTTCAATATTGATAAACTCCATACCGTATAGTCAACTATAAAAGGGCGTGGCATAAAAAATGTGATACAATTCAAACGAGAAAACTAACTGTTTAATTGTTTATATGATTTTTAATTTGTTAATATAAATCTTAATGCTCTGACATGTCTGGCAACAATGTTGTTCTTTATTTTTTTGTTTTATAGACTTAAAATACGTCTGTGTATCTTTTTTGGCTTTGTGGTTGCTGTCAAAATAATGTTTACCCAACATTCTTGGTACTGTGATTTATTTATACTGATTTATACTTCAGTATTTAAAAACAAATTCTTTGAATCTTATTCTTATAAAATTGAAGCTGTTTAAGCATGATACAATGAATATCCTGAACATTATATTTTTTTAATTCTTGACATTTATCACATAAAGTCTGTGTCCAGAAATCCTCATTGGTTTGTCTACAAAAGAAAAAAAATATTAAAATCATATCAATTTTGGTCACCAACATAGCATATATATGAAAAAAAAATATTGTTTGAGAAAAAAACATACAAATATATTGTATAAATTAGTGTCCAGGGACAAGCTGAATCCCGCCTCCGGAAGGGTGACTTTCTCACTGCATTGAAGACCCATTGGAGCATTGGGCTGTGTTTTGCTCTTTGGTCGGGTTGGTGTCTCTTTGACACAGTCCCTTTTTCTATTCTCTATCCAAACCATGCATGCGTTTTTCTCATTGTTGAAGGCCATACAGTTGCCTATAATTGCTCACATCTACTTCATTTCAACTTGGGTGGATAGTTGTCTCATTGGCAATGCCGCATTCATACCGCATCTCCTTATTTTGCATAACAACGTGTCCAATTTCTAATCTGTATTGTTTGAGCAAAGTGCATATGTTTTTCTTTTAAATCGAGTTTAGAACATTTTGTCCGTTTGGTGTATATACAAAAATGGCATCTTCTAGATACACTTTGTCTGTTTTTCTTCTACTTATGGTTTTGGATTGCGTTCCCTCCTTTGAATATGTACATCATTGTGAATCTCCCCTTTTTTTTACACATATCAAGATGCAAACTCCCTTATACAGATAGATACAACAATTTAATCTTGGATGAAGGTCATATTTCGGCGTCATAGCCCATTTCATCAAATATTCATAAAGTAAAAGATACTTCATATCAACCCCAAATTGTATTTATAGCATGTACGACTATTCGAGTGGTCACATGCAGTCAATACAAAGTTTGTCATTTAATTGTATAACTATTAACTCGTTTGCATAGCACGGACATGCATGAAAAAATATAACTACTCAATGTATCAGGTTGCATTGAAATTTATGTTACAGTTTGTATTGTTATAACATCCTACGAAGCCTAAGGTTGGCTATGCTGTTATTTTCCTTCGCGGCCAAGCCATGCTGTCTGGTGTTTTTTCGTGATTTGTATAACGTCACAAACAAATAGCTTTAAACGACGTAATTCGACTAATCCAAACAACAATCGAAACACTCGGACTTTTCAATAATATTATCGTAATGTAATTTCTTCATAAGTCAATAACCATCTTCTTGGTTATTCGTCTTGGATATTATCCATTTAAACAAGCTAAAAAAAAAGCCGATTTGTCATGAATTACCATTTCTACATCACTTGTCATCCAGACGCTATAGTTTGAAAAATAAAGCGGCTGGATGATCGAGACTAAGACTCACAGTAAAATACTAGTCTGGATCATCCAGCCACTTTATTTTTCAAAGGATAGCTGGAATAGGATCCCAGTTACGGCAACCAGTCCGGTACCCACGAATGTAGTTCTAAAAAAAATATATAACTTTTATTTAAAATGGTGTAGTTTTATTATTACACAAGTTCTGTAACTGAATGTAGATTGAATTTGAATGGGTAGGCTTTCTAGCTTGAATTTCTGTAAAAATTATTGATTGATTTAAATGTAATCTGGCGTCGGTACATAGTGTAAATTGCCTAAATTCTAGCCTTTATTCTTCCCCGGAAGTAGACCGACCTACCCTGTTGTCAATCAAAACAAAATTGTCCAACGGAATGCCGGTCATGAGGCACTGAGATTGCACTTAGAAACTTCGAAACAAATGCCTAACGTGAAACAGAAATCCAAAGGTGGCTATCAAAATTATTTATTGGACAGCACCCCATTTATTTACTATGATTTTCAATGCGTTTCAATGGGGGAAATAACTGGGTCCCCGTTCCTGTCAGAGGGCATATTTTGAACACTTCAATCTGCAATTGTAAGCTTATTTGTGGAGTTACATAGATGAAATTTGGCCAGCAACTTCAAAATTCAATAAGGAAAACAATGGTGTAATTATTTTTAAAATTTGAATTAAACTTTTTAAATTAAATTGAAATTTAAATTTATGAATTTTTTAAAAAGTTTGTTTTTCAATTTAAAGTTTCAAAAGGGGTTACAGTAAGGTCATTTTGATGGTATTATGTATTCATACACTTGTAAGTTAAAATGGAGGGATTTTTCGAAAAATATCAGCAAAGAATATTAGAAAAGAGCCACCTGGCAAGAAATAACAAATGTCTTATATGGGATCAGGGGACAACAAAAGATGGAAAATATGGGCTTATTTCTTTCCAGTATCCTATTTCTGGGACCTGGAAAAAGAAAAAAGCCCATAGATTCAGTTTTATGGTTTTCAATTAGTTTTTGATAAGTTTTAAATATTAAATAAAACACTTTATGCCATTTTATGTGTCATAAAAGTTTGTGTGGGAATGCGGCTCACATTACT